GGGTTAAGGTCAGGAGAGTTTGTTGGCCAATTAAGAACAGGGATACCATGGTCCTTCAACCAGGTACTGGTAGCTTTTGTTTTTGTTTTGTTTTTATTGGTCTTCAGTAATATTCTAATTTTCTGATATGCTGAATTTGAGATTTTCATTTGTTGTCATTTGTAATCATCAAAATTAAACGAAATAAACATTTGAAATTTTTGAGTTTGTATGTAATGTATGAATATAATATACAAGTTTCACTTTTTAAATGGAATTACTGAAATAAATCTACTTTTTCATGATATTCTAATTTTATGACCAGCACCTGTATATAGTGCTTTTCTATCCATCCAGGACACTCAAAGTGCTTTACACTACAATCTGTGTCCTCATTTACCCATTCGCACAGCACTCTATCAGATCTCATACAAAGCTAACATGTACAATCAACTATGGAGACTAATCAGTGCCAATCACATTCATACACTGATGGGACACACATCAGAGGCATTGGGGTGAAGTGTCTTGCCCAAGGACACAACAACTAAGACAGCTGGACGGGGATCGAACCTGCAACCTTCCGGTTCCAGGACAACTCCCCAAACCACTCTGCCACAGCCGCCCCAGTACCTGCGGCAAAATCCAGATCACAGCTGCTCGAGATGTTGGAGAAGCTGACGCTGCCTGGGAGAACGCCCAATCAGCTCATCCTGCAGAGAAGAAGTTGGTGGAAAACCTACAAAGCATTTCAAAAACCCGAGAATCCTGACAGTACCTTCCACCCCACACCCCACCTGGRGACATTAACCACTTTTCAGGGTGATCTTTATAAAATGTAGAAATTTGGTCTGGGTCTTAAAATGAAGGAACAAGGGATCCAAGACCTCTRCTTAGGTCCAATATCCTTCCCAGTCAACTAGATATTGACGACCTTAAAGCATTTAAAATACTCCAAACTTTGTAAGTAGGGTGGTCATTGATGATTCGGGCAGGTGGAGGGTAAGTGGCAGGAGGGTAAAGGGTTCTAGACTTGACTGATTTAATATGGCAGACATGGAAAGTGGGGTGAATTCTCAAGGAGGTGGATAGTTTGAGATGCACAGATGAGGGATACATGATGGACTAAGTTTGGAAGAGACCAAGGTACCTAGGAGCCAGTTTGTGACGTGAGTCCTTCAGGGCAATGTCATGTGCGCTGAGCCACAAATTTTTGGTTTTTGTCTATATGCCAGGTGRCAGTTTTGCTTAGTTGTACAGGGGAGAGTGGTCTTTGTTTGTCTTCAAATCTTCCTGCATCACAGAAGGTGGTGTTGCACAAAGGAAATGGAGATCTTCAAGGCTTAGCTCAAGAACAGAGAAAGTAGAAAACTGAAAGCTTCAAAACGAGACAATCCAGTGGCAGAGGATGTATGTGTATTATAACCAAACCTTACAAAAAAGCTGGGAACTCCAGAGAAAGGACTGGGATTGATGATACAGCGAAGGACATATTTAAGCTGACTGAGCCGTGCAGTTTGTCCATTGGTCTGGTGATGAAAACTCAAAGAGACTTATGCACCGCAGAAGGCTCTCCAAAACTATGTATGTCACTGTATGTCAGATGGGACACCATCAATTGGGTGGTCCAAAGCCAAGTTCAGGTTTAAAAAAGTGGACCTACTTAATTAAACATTCAGTCTCCCAGGTGAGTTATCTGAGAGTAAGGACAGAATGTGTTTGCAGTTGTCAGACTGCGAGAACTGTTGGGAAAGAGCATCAGGTTTGGTATTGCGGGAAGTGATGTGGAACTGAAATCTGGGAAAAAATGGTCCCATTGGGTCTGTCTGGCATTCATTCTCTTGGCGGATAGTTTTTTATCCATTGCCATTCAAACAGAACTGAGTTGGTCCAAACCCTTGGCTGTAGCTTGATGTTGTTTGTGCAGATTTTGTAACGTCATGACAGTCAAATATCCTTTGACAACAGACAACGTAGATCTGTTTCTTACGTAAATGGGACCATTCAACAATTTTTTGCAGTGTACTCCTCAGAGTTTGGGGTGTGTACAGAAACAAATCACACAGGTGAAAGTACTAGATGCTTTTATTGTGAAAATGTGTCAGGTAAGCACTTTGGAGAATCAGGTACTTTCATGAAAATGAGTAAGCTGCTGCTTAGATTTAATTTGGTGACAATTAATTCTTACAGTGAGATTTCTCTTTGGGGTTTAGCAGGATTCCAGGAACATACAGTACTATTAACATATTTAAGTACATTTTCTAAAAGCACTTTCAGACATATTACAGTARTGTATTTTTTATGTTTCAGTCACTCATCAGCCACCTTTGGTTTGGAAAGAGCCCAAAGGAAGTGATTGCCACTCCAGTTATCTTTGTTGACTCTGAAAATAAAGGGATGTTTGAACCAAACTTTAATAAGGTGAAACATTTGGAGAATCTGTGTGGTCAGTTAGTTTATTACATTTATCAATCTTTGTCTCAACTGAGTTCATTCTTCTCTTTGTTCATCACAATTCAGGCTCAGAGATCTCGAGGACATGAAACTGATAAATAAATGCTGTGGAGAAAGATGTCGACAGGATCTATGTCTGATGCAAGGAAACAGGGAGAAGCAGCTGGTTACTGAAATTAAAAGTCATTGATGTTGGAACAAGARAACTGAATGCAACAG